GATTTCCCCCCAGGGCTTCCAGGGGATAGAGGGAGCATCTGGCTGCCCCTACCTGACTGACCTGGAGAGGTGGAGTTACATGTTCCCTGGGTTTGGAGAAAGGGAGAATTCTGGCATCAAGGGGAGAGTCTGACTCTGGGAGAGAATGGCCATGAAAAAATGCCTGGAGCCAGGATCTTATCTACCTTCTCCAGCTTGTGTAGAAATCTAAGGGCTGGGCACGGTGGCTCATGTCTGTAATCCCAGCACTTTGGGAGGCCAAGGTAGGAGGACTGCTTGAGCCCAGGAGTTTGAGACCAGCTTGAGTAACATAGTGAATCCCCGTCTCTAAAATAATACAAAAATCAGCTGGGCGTGGTGGTGTGCACCTTTTGTCTCAGCTACTCAGGAGGTTGAGGTGGGAGGACTGCTTGAGCCCTGGAGGCGGAGGTTGCAGTGAGCTGAGATGGAGCCACTGCGCTCCAGCCTGGGCGATGGAAGGAGACTCCATCTCAAAAACAACAACAACAATAAAGCCAAAGTTCTCACAAAGAGACAAGGGGGGAGTGTTGACACAGAAGGAAGAGCTGAACAGCTGCAGACGGAGGTGAGCCCCACTGGGAAGGGAGCAGCCTTCCCTGGAGGGACAAGGGAATATGTCACCATTCTGTTCGTCTGTGATGGAACTTTGGGAAAGGAGCACCACAGGGTTAGCCTAGATTATCCCACAGAGCTCAGGGCCCCCAGCCACTCCCTTCCAAGGGACCCACATTCTCCCCTCCAACACACACTACCAGGGCTCCAGTTCTCCACTGTCCTGGAAGGTGGAAAAGAGGAAAGCTTGGACTAGAACTCCTTACCCTACTGCAGGGGGACTTCGGGGGAGCAGGAGGACTAGCAAGGATCCTACAACCTCACAGGCCCTCAATTCCCTCAACTATAAAAATGAGGATGGAAATACTGATCTCCCAGGATGCTGCAAGGATGAAAAAAAAAAAAAAAAAAAGCTGGTGTAAGAACCTAGGGCACTGCTGGATGCCTAGGAAGCATTCAATCATAAATGTTCACTTTCTTCCTCCTTCACAGCTGTCTCTCTCATGTAAAGTTTTCACATTTTAGGCACTTACCTGTGGCTTTCTGATAGAGATAGATTTCCCCCCAGGGCTTCCAGGGGATAGAGGGAGCATCTGGCTGCCCCTACCTGACTGACCTGGAGAGGTGGAGTTACATGTTCCCTGGGTTTGGAGAAAGGGAGAATTCTGGCATCAAGGGGAGAGTCTGACTCTGGGAGAGAATGGCCATGAAAAAATGCCTGGAGCCAGGATCTTATCTACCTTCTCCAGCTTGTGTAGAAATCTAAGGGCTGGGCACGGTGGCTCATGTCTGTAATCCCAGCACTTTGGGAGGCCAAGGTAGGAGGACTGCTTGAGCCCAGGAGTTTGAGACCAGCTTGAGTAACATAGTGAATCCCCGTCTCTAAAATAATACAAAAATCAGCTGGGCGTGGTGGTGTGCACCTTTTGTCTCAGCTACTCAGGAGGTTGAGGTGGGAGGACTGCTTGAGCCCTGGTGGGTGAGGCTACAGTGAGCTGTGATTATACAACTGCACTACAGTCCGGGTGACAGAGTGAGGCCCTGTCTCAAAAGAAAAAAAGAAATTTAAGACCCTAGGCCCTAAGGCCCTCCGGGATGCCAGCAGCTTTGCTGGGCTGGCCCTGTGACCCTGTCCCATAGCCAACTTGACCTACTCTTTCTGCAAACTACCGATCATGGTTTATCTCATTACATTGTTTAAATTCCCACTCTCTCCTGACTTCCTCTCCCACCACGAACCTCTTTATCAAAAGACAATCCAGGCTCAATCCCAAAGGACCACAATCCCTTTCCAAAAACTTTGGGAAATTCATAGTTTTGGAGATTTTAGAAAGGTAGATATAATGGTCCGTATATTCTGTATTACATGATACCACCCAAGTGGGTCCAGAGCAGTACCTGTAATCCAACACATCAGCATTTCTGCAGTGAAACATCTGATATCTATGCCAAGCAGGATAAATAAAGACTATAAATAGCTTCACACTGTTTAGGTCAGGTTTGCTGCCAAATAGTTTTGGCAGCAAATATACCAAACAAACAAAAAACCCCAAAGCTTTTAGAATGATTGCATCTGTAGAGAAGAGAGTAAGGGTTAGTATTTATGCTGCCTAAGAGAGAAGCAGGCAAGCAAAACTGTAGCTGAGAAAAGGAAAAGAGCCTGTGATGGCTCCTCTTGCCCCCTCCCCACCACCACCTTCCTCTTTCCAGACCACCTGGCATTGGAACCCAGCCTCCCTTAGGCACCATGGTGGACTCTATAGAGCGATCGGCCCCCTAACTAGCTGTGTACTTAAGGACAGAGACTTAGCCAGAGTCTTGGTTTCCTTGTTTATTTAAATGGGAAAAGAAGCAATTCCAAATATTCCTTTCACGGCTGCCACTTGATACTCTTATCAATACATTCGCCCAAGCTGGCTGGCTATGCTGTCCAGAGCAAAGCAATGTCTTCACCATCAGACTGTGGAGCACCCCAGGAAACAGCTGTCCCTCTCAGCACCCCATGCTCTTTTGTACCCAAGTGTCTTTGGACACACACTTCCCAGTCCCTTGACTGTCTTTCCCTCCTCACTAGCCTGGAAAACTCATGCTTATCCATCAAGATCTGTTTCAAAGGCCCTCCTCGGGCTCCCACTTTGTCCATACTTCCATATGGCAGCTTCAATGATAATTTGGGTATTGTGTTTCTCTGCTTGCACTAAACTATAATCGCAGGGGCAGGGTCTAGGCTGCCATTGGCTGTCTCCAAGGTGTGGCAGCGTCAGGCACATGGAAGGCCTTCAGCAGACGGTTGTGGAGAGGAGAGGGCGCTAGCGTGGCATGGCTTCCCACGGACAGCCTATCACGGTGGAAGACAGCCCCATACGCCCTCTGTAGGAGATCTGGAGGCATCTATCTGCAAGACAGGAAGTTAATAGTGCAGAAGAAGGGAAATATTAGCATGAGACCTGTTGCAAGTCCAGGTGGACAGCTATGGGATCAAGTAGTAAAGCAAGAGAAAGGAGCTAGAAAGGTGACCCTAAATCCCACAGGCCAGGATGGAGGGTCCTACCCACGCAAAATGGTGGACTTTGGCATGACAGGGCGCAGTCCATCGCAGACCTCAAGAGGAAAAGGAGGCTGTCCTGGTGGAAGAAGTGTTGTGAAAACCCGAGCAGAAAAGGACAGCGCGGCAGGGCAAGGCCCCCCAAACCACCCGCGTACGTGGCAAACGCCCGCGGCGCGGAGGGTTCGCATGCTACGCACCACCGCCGCGAGGTGGCAGCAAAAACCCGCCAATGAGCCCAGAGCGCGCTGCCTTCCGCCTCCAACCTGCAGTGCTTTGCGCCTGGGTGCGCACAGCCAGCGCCGAGGGGCGTCCAGCCGCGGAACCGCTGGGTCCAAGGCTGAGCACTGCGGCCAGGCTTCGGGGTCCTCGGAGGACGAAGAGGGGACTTCCCTGGGTCTCTGGCTCTTGAAAGCTCCCCAACCGGCGTCTGGCAACTTCTTGAGGGCATCATGGAATCTAGCTACCCGACCTGCAGCCTTCCTCTGCTCTCCCATCCCCGGGGGAAGTGATCCATTCTCCTGCCTCCCGGCTGGCCCGGCATGCGGGGTCGCGTCCTGGACTCTTGCTGGCGCAGAGCCCTTGTCTGTCTCAATCCTTCCCCACATACCTCCTTCTGCTCCTACCCACCGCTCCCGCCAGCACCCGAGAACGGGTCTGGAAGCTGAGGCTTCCTTCCCTGTCCTGCTCCCGAGTACCTGCCACACACGCTCCCACACACTCGGAGACAGTTGCGGGCGTGGAATCACCCAGAGGCCACGCACACAGACACGCACTGGTGGTCGCCCCTACACCTCAAGCTCGCGACGAGCGGATGTGAAAGGCGGCCCAGGGGTGCAATGTGAAATGGAAGGATCGCAGGACTAGGGACCGAGCAACTTGAGTTTGACTTTGACTCATTCCATTTCCCTGGGTCTCTAAACCCTCGCATGTCCAATAACAAGATCGCCAAGCTGCCTGGGAGCCGTCGCCTCCTCTGCGTGGAAGCGCCGCGGCAGCCCGTAAAAGCCTCCCTGAATGTCCCAATAGTGCAAATGGAACATTCCCGCTCTGGGTTGGCTTCACCCCTGGAGCCCGAGGCAAAGAGGTCGCGCGAAAACGATGTGCAGGAGGCTGCGCGCATTGAAGTTTCGCAGAGCCTGCAGCGGCGCTCGGACGAATACTCAGGGTTTCGGAGGCGCGTGCGTCCTGGGTCCCTTGCACTACCTCTGACCCTCGGTATCCTTCTCAAGGGCCACGCTCCCACTCACCCAGTACGCTGCTCTCCTCGGGTCACCCCCGTTACTCCTGGAGGACTTGCGGCCTGGGACTCAAGCTTTCACCGTCCTCCCGCACCCCAGTGCCAGCTGTTATTGTGCAGTAGAACAAAGGCCGAAATGGGTGGGTATGGGAGGAGACCTGGCCCTACAGGACTCCCATTCTGGTAGGGAATGGGTTTTGGAACAAAGTGCATGGGTTTTATTGGTTCGCGGCGTCCACCGACAGACCCCTCTAAGGAGCACGTGTGAGCATGTGAATTGTGAGCGCACATGAAGCTGGAGGTCACGATGCTTCTGGAGGAATTGAGGTCAGAGAGTGGAATCTAGGGCCAAGTCACAGATCCATGAAAAGGGGACAAACACTGAAATCAGGTCATCGGAGGGCAGCCTGTAGGTCTGCAACTGGTCATCAAGTCATCACCATTTCTCCTTGGAAATGCCTTTAACACGTTCTGGTGCCTTAGCTCAGTCCTGCTTATTGGAATAGTTTCCTAAGGGCTTTCCTGTCTACAGCCTCACTGCCCCCAGCTAAAGTCCTTCAGCAGGACGCTGGATATTCCCATTCAAGCTTTCATACAGTTTTTTGTTTGTTTGTTTGTCTGTTTTGAGACGGAGTCTCCCTCTGTCTCCAGGCTGGAGTGCAGTGGAGCAATCTCAGCTCACTGCAACCCCTGCCTCCTGGGTTCAAGTGCTTCTTGTGCCTCAGCCTCCCAAATAGCTGAGATTACAGGTATGCGCCACCAGCCCCAGCTAATTTTTGTATTTTTAGTAGAGACAGGGTTTCACCATGTTGGCCAGGATGGGCTCGATCTCCTGACCTCGTGATCCTCCCGCCTCGGCCTCCCAAAGGCCCGGGATTACAGGCGTGAGCCACCGCACCCAACCACTTTCATACAGTTTTGTTTGACTCCCCAGTACCCTTGGGATCAAGGCCACACAACTTGCCTGATCTTGTAATTAATCCCTACTCCCTCTTCCCTCAGAATCAATTAGCAACCTCTCAAAAACTCATAGGCCGCATACTACGGTACTCTGGGGGCGGTGGAGCCACACTGCACTGCTCCCGACTGGACCTGACACCTCCTCCATGCCTTCCCGCCTGCCATTCCTGCCTAGAATCTCCTCCACTCAATCCCATTCATCCTTCTGGGTCAGTGCCATCTGCTCAGAGGAGCCCTCTCTATCCCCACCGCCAAAGTTGTAGTAATTAATTGCGAAGTTGCCACGCCACCGGGAAACACTGTGTGCAACTCCACGGGGTTGGAAGTGGTGACCTCAACTGTCCCTCCCACTGGCTCATGAGAAACTTGAGGACAGGGCTAAATTGTGCTTGTCCCTCTCCTCTCCATTCTTCGAGAACTTAGTTGATATTTCTGCATCACGCCCACAAGCACTGGACAAGCCCCCAGGCTCATCTGTAGGTAGACGCGTCATCTGTACAAGGTAAACATTTCTCTTGCAGTGCATGAGAATCTGCACAACAATCTCACTGCACACTCAACAACGTTCACATGTATCCACACACTTCACATCCTCGATTCCCAGCCCACTGGGAAGCACTGGTAGTTTAAGCGGAGGCCTGTCCGCTGTGGGAGGGGAGGCCCCTGAAATCCCCGCTCTTTCTCCGGGCTTGGTAGGGGCACCTGCATGTAGCTGCTTGCTGAGCGCTTCTCTTGGGTCTGGTCCTCCTAGGCAGCGCGAAGGAGGCGCGTTCCTGCAAAGTCCTAGTGCTGGTGGTGGGAGCGATGGCGCGCCCAGAAGGGCAGAGTCTAGGGCCGCCCGCTCCCCACCCTATCCCACTCCCTTCTCCCGCTTTTGCCTCATCTTGCGCGCCCAGAGGGGCATCTCAGAAAAGTATTTCCCCGGCTATCGGGAGCGCACGGCGAGGAAGACAGAGAGGGTCATCGAGTGTGCAGGTGTAGCCGGGTGGAGGTGAAGGTTGGCTGTGTGACAGTGGCCAAATTATGGCCCTCTCTGAGCTTCCGTTTCACCTCCCGATATAAGCGGAGCCGCTTCAGCTCAGATACACAGGGGAAAGGCAGCGGTGGCCGGGGCTGAGTTCCGTGCGCCCGCACATGTACACGTGTCCGTCGGTCCTCTGTCCTTCCTCCCAGTACAGGTTGGCGGGGCGGCGCCAGTGTGTCCTGGGCGAGGTAGGGGTAGGCGGCTGCACCTGTCCGGGGCTGCAGAGGGAGAGGCGCACACGCCGGCAATCAGCAGCGCGTCCAGTCGTTAAGGGGCCTTGCTAAGAAATTCTGTTGAAAGGTCGCAAATTAATTATGATGGTAAGTATCGCAAAATCCAACAAACTAAAGCCAGTGCGGGCCTGTAAGGGCTCCAGGCCGCCCCCAGCCACAGGCCGGGCCATTGCCTGAGGCAGCCCAGCCCCAGGGGACCGGGTTCGGAGAAACACAGCGCGGCCGGAGGACCAGGGCATCAGGCTGGGAGAGGCCGGAGCTTCGGCCACAGCGCCTCCCAGCGGCTTGAAAGAAGAAAGACGGAGTCCGAGCCCGAGAGGTGGGGACAAAGGCCCAGGGAGAGAGCGCCGCGAAGGCCGGAGGGCGGAGCGGGGACCAAGGGGCGCGCGCCCCACCGGGCCGCGTCCACAGATCCTGGACCCCTGCCCCGGGGACCGCGTCCCCACGCCCCGCCGCGCTCCCTCTCGCATCTGAACCCTGCGTCGGTCCCTCGGACCTCCTGTTTCGGTTCCTGGGCCCCGCACACTCTTCCTGCATTCACCTTCAGGGATCCGAGAAGTCCCCAGGGAACTCGCCCCTCTTGCCAAGCCTCATCTTTTCAAAAAAGAGACAGAGAGAGAGAGAGAGAGAGAGAGAGAGAGAACAGCCAGTGCTTGACTGGTCTGTAGCTCCTTCAGCCATACAGCCATTTCCATCCTCAGGCAGAGAGGGGCTCCACCCTGACTGAGCCCGCCGTGAGCAGCCTGGCGGGGCTGGAGTGTAGGCAGAGCCTGGCACATGCGTGTGTGTGTGACTTGCTTGTGCCCTCCTTTCTTGCCAGCACATTCTGTAAAGTCCTCGATGTCTTGACGGGTTAGACTCCTGCAGGTTAAAGTCCTTTTCTTTTCCAAAAAGAGTATGTGTAGAAACCAGTTAGAGTCGTGGGTTCATTTGTAAAAAGTGAGGAGTTGTTGCTAGGAGTGGAGATGTGCTTCTGTCCCTTACTGCATCCCTTTGCAGAAGGGGGTGGTTGCCTGTGCCCACTGTAGAAGGCAGAGGTGTGTGTGTGCGCGCGCAGAGCGGTGACTATGTGTGTCTTATGAATGGAATTGTACTGGGGGCATCTCTAAGAGTGTGTAGTGTGAGGGGAGAAGCTGCCGCTGAGTCCAGGGAAGGGAGGCATGGGAAGGTGAGTGCTTTCTTGAGTGGGCCTCTGCTGTGCAGAGGAAGCTGCATGACCTCCCCAGCCCACAAGGGGAATGGGTGCTCTTGAGCCCCAAGCTGCTGTGCACCCCCAGTATTCGGCTAACTTCCCAAGTCCAGCCAGCCACAAGTCAATGTGCTCCCCTAGGCACTTTCTTGGAGAAGGAATTGCTCTCCTGCCTCAGTGGCACCCTCTCCCCAACCAGCCTTGACCCTCCCTCACCTAAGCCTGGGAAGCTGTTCCCCATCTTCCCTCAGACCCTTCCGGCTCCCGCCCCTTCCCTGTTCTCTCCTCTCCCCACTTTTTGTTTCAACTCCCCTCTCCTTTCTCTCTGCTTTTCCTTTTTGCCTTCATCCCCACTCTATAATTTATCTCCCTCTTCCTCACTCTCCCTTCTTGCTCTGCAAAACAGCATATCATGGGCATTTAGGGGTGGATTGTAACACAGAGGCCTCTGTTTACCTGCTCACTCCCAACAGCAGGAATGCTTCTGTCAAGATGCTTATCTAGTTCCCTACCTATCTTTGGGGCCCTAGCCTTGTGTGTGTGTGTGTGTGTGTGTGTGTGTGTGTGTGCGCGCGCACGCGCGCGCACTTGTAATGAATGGGTGGTCTCTGAGTCCCTAGAGTCAAACTCTGTGGTTTGGAGGTTGGCATGCCTCTGGGTGACATATCTCATGTCTTTGGGTTGGCTCACAGGTATGTGTGTGTGCCCGAAGCTTTCCTCTGTCTGTCCTCTGTGTGTTTGTGGTGGTGACTGTGTAGTGGCTGTGTTCTCTGACTGGATTTATTGTTATTTGCTCCCTTTCTTGTGTGTAAACTTTTGGTGAGCCCCAGCACACTGTGTATGTACAACAGGCTGTGCACTAAATGTCTATTGGTGCTAATGCCATTTTATGCAGATGCGTATTTCTATTGTGTGAATCTGGGTAGCTCTGTAGGAGGGTGTGATTGTGAGCCTGGGCATTTTGTGCGTGCATCTTGCAGATTTGGAGTGCGTGCATCCTGGAGCGTGTGCCTGCAGGAGAGGCAGATGAAGGATTCTTGTGTTTGTATCTGAGGACCGGTGTAGAATCCATAAGGGGGAAATCAGAAAGGCAGGCCTTATGTTGTGTAGGGAAGCAGGTCTGTGGGTGCTGGGAAACTGCTCTGAGGGCAGGTAGGTGCCTGAAGGAAGGGGCTCGGCTGTGTTTATGATGGCACCGCTGGGGGGTGAGGTGTGATATAACATGGAAGGCATGTTTATGTAGATGAGATGAATTGCACATACGTGTGTGTGTGTCTGTGTGTGTGTGTGTAGCCTCTGTCAGCCTGGCTGTGCCTGCCCCCTCCCGCCGAGCCCCGCCCGGCACAGTGGAGCTCAATCAGCCGCTGCATGAATACACTCGAATGGAAAGTTGTGCTCAGCTGACCGGAGAAATCGGAGCCGGACTAGTACTGCTCCCCTCCTCCATGGCTCCCTCTCGCCTGCCCCCGCCCTCCCTTGGGCCAGACGGCCACCGGGGCCCGCACACTGGGGCCAGGGAGCTTCGGCTCAGCTGGGGCCGTAAAGGGCCGGAGCTGTGGAAGCCGTGGGCGCCTCAGCGCGCCTACCGGGAGGTCGAGCGTCCCGGCGGGCCGGGCATCTCAGCCTCAGCGCTGGGGGTACGGAGAGGACAAGGGAAGGGCCCGGGAAAGCCCGAGGCACAACCGGTGCTCCAGGTGACGGCCACACAAAGGCTTAGGCGGGACTGACAGGGCCACAGAGGCAGAGGAAGAAGAGAGGGAGAAGAGGCTGCTCCAAGAGGCCGAGTGCATCCAGTGCGCCACAGGCCTGGGACTGGGCTTCGAGCTCCGGGGGCCCGGGTGATACGCTGGGTCGAGAATGTACCAGGCTGTCCCATTCTCCTTGCAGAAGAACCTGAGGGCCACTCCACCATCACAGCCCCCTCGGCAAGCCCAGGCACGGGCCTTCCCACTGCCTCACTGAACCATCTCCACGCCCAAAGTCTCAGGCACCCCCCAGGCTGGCCCTCCGTCTTCAACCCCATTCCCAGCCGGGACTGGCCAGACTCATGTGCCTCCAGCCCCACTATTGATCGGCATCTCCGCCCCGCGCCGTGGCAGCTTCCGGGTCATTTCATTTTAATCAGTTGTGTGTCTCGCCGGGGATAATCAACTGCACTGGCCCTGGGCAGTCGATTCCGCAGGATTCAAGGAGGGCAAGAAGAGAGGCCAGGTGGGGGCTCAGGGCCAGGGCTGGGGACAGGGACGGAAGAGAGCTGGGTGGGGGGACAGTGAGCAAGCCAGAAGGGGTAGACGGGCCTCTTCCCTCAGGCAGGCACTTCTAGGGGTCAAGGATTTTGATACAGATTTGCCCAGTTTCACACCCCATTCTGCCTGTTCAGGTTTCCAATGCAAATCCTGGATTGTCATTATTTTTCTTTGAGAAAACAGCCAAGTTAGCTATTATTCCTCAAGCCTCTCGAAACTTAGGGTAGGCGACTCAGGTACACAGGAGGCTTAAGCACGCAGGGAGGCTCCGAGCCAGAGCACTCCGCTGGGATGCCAGGCAGAAGTGTGCTGCGTGCAGGGTAGTGGGTGAGGACTCACTGGAAGGCCAGAAGCAGAGAAGCCAGCCTACTGGCTGCTGCATGGCCCAGACATAGGGGACAGATGGTTAGCACTTAGGCCTGCATATTAGACCTGACCCAGGCTCACAAGACCTACGAGAGAGCACACACCAATGCACACATTCTCCCGGCCAAGGCACAACCGGCGACATTCCCAGGAGGTGGGGGCTGTGCACAGTCACTGAGATGGCTTTTCTGCAGGTGGAACTTCAGCCTGGCCTTGCCCTCAAGCTCTGAGTGGCCTGTAGGGTGTTGACCGCTTTGGCCAGGGCTTTGAGGGACCCAGAAAGAGACTAGGCCAGCAGCTGGTAAAAGGCAAGATCTGGCCAGAAAGGGGCCTCTATTCTCTCACTCCAATGTTTAAAGGAGCAGAGGCCAAATCAACCATAATATCCCCAGTAAATCAAACAGAATAAAGGATGGACTAGAATAGCCAAAGAGCCCAATGCCCCTCTGCCCTCCAGCTGATGAATACCCATTAGAGATCCCTTGTGTCTTAAAGGGACAGGAAGGCCTGTTACAGGTGGGCAGCCTGGCAGTCATATCTAAGGAGAGCCTAGAACAAGGGAACCCACATATGTCTACACTAGAACCAAGACCCACAAGACACATGCCCAAGTACCCTGTAGGTGTATTGGAGCCCCCCAATATGCACTCCTTGCAGAAATAAGGACAGGGAAACTGCCTAAGCCATACACCAATACCTATGTTATGCAATATGCATGAACACATACTGGACACACACCAATGCACTGTACACACATTTATACCAAACATCACACACACATATCCTTTTGTATGCAGACCTTGACTGAGTGGTGAAAGCCCAGCATCCAGAATTGCACACATATACACACCCACAACACACACACATCTTTCCTGCAGGGAACCTATATGCAAGGTCAGAAAGTACAAAGCATAGAGTATTGGTATTCGTGCAGACCTGGATGGAAACACAGGAGATGAGAGTGTGATACATGATAGATAGCAGGATAGACAGACAACAGGCTGCTGACACGCAGTAAGGCCCAGGCCCTCCAAACTAAAGGCTGCTGTGGAGTCTGATGGACAGTTTCCTGCAATGCAGAAGGAGTGGGCACTGGATGTCCCAAATCTGCTTTCTCTGCACTGTGTGTTGAGATAGGAAATCATCTTAACTTCCATGCTTGTCTCCTGTCCCTTAGACAAAGAGGCACCTGCTCCCTGATGTCCTCTATCTAGGCAGGCCCTTCCAGGAGTCACCCTCCAGCAGTGCCACTTCTTGCCTTTCATCCGTCAGTTCTGGTCAGTTGGCTGAGCAAGGTCCATCCAGACTCTCCCCACTGAGGCAGGCACTTCTTTGGGCTTCTAGGCCCAAGCTCTGTGTGAAGTATGTGACTGATTATCTAAAAGCAAAGGTGGGTGACAGAGCTCCTCATCCCAGAACAGAGGCTCAAGTTGGGTAGAATCCAGGCAGTCCTTTTCCCAAATTCCTACCACCTGAGTCAATATTGCCTGAAATGTGGCAGGACAAGGAACATTTTCCCAAGCAGTGAACACACACAGAGATTCTGACACCATGTGCCAGGCCACAGAACTTGGGAGCTCTGAAGGTCAGCTGGATGCTCTGGTTCTAAGTAGGGGCGCGCTCAGGAACGTTCCCTGTCTGCCAAATGCATGCCCCGGACGTGCAAGGTCCCACTGGAACACTCAGGGCACCTCTGGGCCAGACAGCCTCTCTGCCCAGCCTGGCCCTCCTAAACCCCCTGGCGCTGCTGGGGATGGGGACAAAAGGAAATCGGAAGTCAAAATTAGTTTGGAAATGGATGCAAAATTCCAGGCACGTTTCCCCCCTAATCCTCCATGCTTTGGAAATTGGCCTTTCAAGTAAAGGCAAGTTTTCTGAAATTACCTCTTTTGCTCCTCCTTGGGTGCAGGCCACCCTGGCCCAGAGCGGCAGAGGCACGGCCAGCCAAGCCATCCCAGGGAATTGTGGGGGCCCTGCCCAGGGCTTGGAGGCCTGAGGCCAGTGGGAACATGGTTAGTAAGAGGTGGTGATTTTTTGGTTTTCATTTTAAAATGTAAACCAACTCTGAAATGTCTTAGGGGCTCAAGAGGTTCCAGCTGAACCCCAAAGATGGAAGGAAATTTCAGGGAGACAGAGAGTCGTAAGGCAAATCACACTGTCACATAGACACACACTCAGGAGGTAAGGAGGGGAGTCCATCCTGATTCCAGGCCCTAAACTCTCAAGAGGCCTCTTCCCTCACTCCTCCTGCCTTCCCCACTCAGGCCACTGTCTCCCGCCCCCACCCCACCCCCAAAAAAGACGACAAAACCTGTCAGCTCTACTCGGGATGGATGCTGGGGTTTGGCGACCTTGTATGTTTCTTCTTTTAAAAAACAAAGCAACAACAACTGAAGGACGCCCAGCACACCCCCAAAGACCCACAGGGTCTTGGCAGGCTACAATTCCGGCTGAATGCATACTGCGGTGAAGTGAGTCTGGCATCTCACTCTGAAGAAGCTGGCGGTAGCCTCCCGCTCCCAACCCTCGAACCCTCTTTGCTTTTTTGCTCAGGATCCAGCTTTGGCTCCTTTCCGGAGGGTCTGTTCTGATCTTCCCAATGCCCTCGGGGGAAGAAAAAAAAAAAAAGGCTGAGATCCAGCCTTGAAATTCTGCCCCAGCTCAGGTGAGCAGCAGTGGAAGTGAAGGCCGAGCACCCCGCGGCTACGGGCCAGGGGCGGACAAAAACACCAGTCTCTGGGAGTGATAAGAAAATGGAGAATACTGTATTTGCTTTAGAAAGTTTTTACATATAGATAAACACGCAGTTTAAGATAACAGTAAAAGCGCCCTACAGGGAGTGAGAGATACCTCTGAAGCTGCTAAGAAATACTGGAAATAGCTTTTGCATAAGAATACTACAATCTCACTCTCCGCTTTTGCTAGCGATGGGGTCCCTCTTCCTAACCCAGGCCACCATGCCTCTTCTTGACTGCCAAGATGACACCAGGAGCACTGAGTGGGAGGAGAATCCCAAAAAGAAAAGAGACAGGTGAGCAGGGAGGAAGACAGAGAGAGGGACAAGAGAGAAAGAGAAAGGGAGAGGAGAAAAAAGCAATATCATATACAGGCAATTTCTACACATATATTACAAACTGGGAAAATGACCGATCATTAAGATATACATAATTCATATAAAATTTTGAAATAAAAATAAAAATCTGTTACAGTCATAACTATTCTTTTTCCACATTTATAACCAGTACCCACACAGGCAGTGACAGAGTGGAGAGAAAAAGGTGCTTACGAAGAAAATGATTGTCTGCTGAACAAAAAACAGAAGATTGCATTTTGTTTGACCAATACTTGGACTTAAAAACAGAGAGAGGAAGAGAAAGAAAGAGAGTGAGAGAAAAAAAGAGAGAGAGAGCAACAAAAGGCGAGAAACATTTGCTATTTCCCTCTCCAGGAGTTCTTCCCCCCCGCCCTCCCCCCCCCGCTTTTTTTTTTTTTTAACAAATTCGGAACGGAGATGGCGATTTTTTTTTTCTTTTTGTCTGTTTTGCTTTTGTCCTCTTGTCCTCGTGGTGGTGATTGGTTTTTGTATAGTCGACTCTTTAAATCATTTTTAACTAGAGAGAATATTTTCCCAGATACAAATAAATCGTCATGCAGGTGGGGTGCCGGGTCCATGGGAACCGAAAGGAGAAGCCGTGCTTGTCCTAGAAAGTATACATTTGTCACCTCTTTTATGTTGTCTGCCCGCAACATCAGCGTTTGACTGTCTGTTGGCGTCGGGGTCCTTTGGGGTGGCCGTAGTGGTAGATGGTGGTTGGGGGTTGTTGATAGTTTGTGGTTAATTTGTTATTTTCTTGTTTTTTTATATATTTTTGGCTGGGGTGGGAGTGTGTGTGGACTTGTATGTGTGTATGGTTGGGTATCCTGATTTCGGTTTGTTCTGGGGATGGAGGAGAAGGAAGAGGAGGAAGAGGAGGAGGGCTAGGAGGAGGAGGGGAAGGAGTGGGGGAGGAGGGGAAGGAGGGGGAGGAGGGCGGCCTTGGCTATCATACATCACATTCCGAGTCGCTGGAGGTTACCGAGAGGATGGAGGTGCCGGTGTCCGCGCGCTCCGTCAGGCTGGACACGCTGGTGGTCGGGCTGGCCGCCGTGGACGGCGACTCTGCCGAGCCGTGCGTGGGGCAGCCGGGCTCGGCCAGCGAGCGCATGCCGCTCGGTCCAATGGCCTGGTGCTGGAGCCTGCGGGAGAAAGAGAGCCGCGCCCGCCCTGACACAGAGGCCCGCCACCCGGCTCCCCCGCGCCGCCGCTCCCGACTCCGCTTTCGGGAGCGTCCCAAGTCTTCTCAGATAGAGACTGGCCTCGGAGGAGAGGCAGAACCCGAGCCCGGCCGTCTGGGGAGGCCTGGGTGCAAGCGGCAAAATACTGCAAGCCCTGGAGCAGCAGAAGTCGGAGGAGAGCCAGGCGCTTCTTCCCTCCGCAGTCCCTGGGGCTCTTCACACTGAGCGGCTACCCCGCGACCGGTCGAGTTCTCTCAGTAACCCCGTCCCTGATCCCTCAAACACACACCCGGAGCTGCGGGTTCCTCACTGGCCGGCCCGTCTCCGGGTAGAACCGCATACTTTGCTCTCTGGATCCCAGCGCAGAGCGCAGGACCGAGGGTAGAGAAAATAGGAAAGCTGGCGGTGGAAAAGTGGGGAAAGAGCAGGGAGACAGCAAAGGGACAAAAGAGAAGGCAAGAGAGGAGCACAGAGCAGTCTCCAGCTGCCCCTTTCCTCCACCGGGAACCTTCTGCCTGGACCTGGTGTCTGCAATTCTCTCCACAAGGAGGCCTTGGCTTGACCCTGGGCGCTCCCCTCATCAGACGAAAAGTGAGCTCCACAGCAGGGGTGAGAGGGCCATAGGCTCAGGTCCCGGCCGCCTAAACTCGAACACACCTCCAGAAACTCACACCCACCCCCCACCCACAGGCAGCTGTCAGCAGCTGGGGGTCCTGCTCCCTGAGGTACACCAGGCCCTGGGCCTTCCTGGCTGGATAGAGACACAGGCTCCACATCAGGGCTTTCACCCAAGTTCCTCTCTTCCTTCTCCCTTCTCTCCCCACTCCTCTCCCCTATCCACTTCTTTCCCTCTGGTTCTTTTTCTCCTTCCCCCAGGCCCAACTCCTGTGATGTTGGTCAAGCCCTATACAATTTTGTGACTTTGTGGCCAACTTGCCAGCAACGAGGCTGCTCCTGCCCGCTTCCCAACTTAGAGGACCAAAGGCATTCTCCGTGGCTGGGGCAGGAGGGTGAGTACATGCACACGCGCGTGCACACACACATGCACACGCACACACACTAGGCCTCTCCGCTCCCAGCCTGGCTCTCCTGCTCCCGGTTAGGCAAAGTGCAGCGTTGCGGGAAACAGGCCCGCTGTGCAGTGGCCTCCGGCCTTTTCCCCTTGTGATAGGGACCCAGGTTAACTTTCCTCTCTCTGACGCTCCTGGATTTCTCTCGGGGTTTTGCAATGCACAGAAATAAGAACCAGATGGCAAGGAGTGCTTTCCTTCCCTCCCTGTCTCCAGGCTCCAGAGGATTGCCGAGCTGGCGACAGGGCTGAGGAGGCAGGCACGGGTGCAGCGCAGGGGTAAGGCTCCCAGGGGCCGGGATCAGGGGCTGCGGACACTCGGGTCGCAAGCACACACTCTCCGCCCTGACGAAAGCCCCTCTTGGTCAAAGCAATCAATACACCCACAGCCCGCCCGCCCCCTCTTCCGCGCGCCCAGGACAAGCGGAAACTTTCTCCAACTGGCCAGGAGTCACGGCTTCCCTGACGCTCAGCGGCCGCTCCGCTAGCCCCTTCTCAACCCCTCTCCCCTTCCCAGGCCTTTGAGGCTGTAGCCAGGCCGCGGGCCCCGCCACTAACCTGTTCTTGGCCGCCGCGGCGCGGTCGCGCTGCCGCCGGTTCTTAAACCAGTTGCCTACTTGTGTGGGAGTGAGGCCGGTGGCCTGCGCCAGTTCGCGTTTCTTGCTGGGGTTGGGGTAGGGGTCCTGCAGGTACCACTCCCGCAGCAGGCTCCGAGTCCGCTCCTTGAAGCAATGCGTCTTCTGCTCGCCGTCCCAGATGGTGCGTGGCAGCGGGAACTTCTTGCGCACGCGGTACTTGTCCACCGGGCCGAGTGGGCGGCCGCGCAGCTTCTCGGCCTCCTGGTAGTGCGCCTCGAGCCACATGGCCTGCAGCTTGCCGTGAGACTCCTTGGTGAACTTGTGGTTCTCGAGGATGTGGTAGAGGTCTCGGAAGTTGCCCGTGTGGAAGGCGACCACGGCGCGCGCGCGCAGGATCGACTCGTGTTTGTTGATGGCCTCGCACGCCCCGGGGGCCACGGGCAGCGACCAGAGGAAGCGGCCCAGCCGCTCGATGTCGCCCGTCTCCTCCAGCGTCTCACAGACGCTGGCCACCTGCTCCGGCGAGAAGTTGAGGGTGGGCAGCTGGAACATGGACAACTCTTCCGGGGGGGCCCTGGAGCCGCCGCCGCCGCCGCCTGCTCCGCCAGCACCGCCGCCTCCCGCACCGTTCCCTCCGCCGCTGCCGCCTCCCGCGCCGCCGCCGCCTCCCGCACCGTTCCCGCCGCCGCTACTCGCCAGAAGTATGGAGCGGTGGTGAGAATCGGCGAAGTTTGGCAACAAGAAGTGGGAGGAATAGAGGTCTAGGGGGGAGCGGAATACCATGGACTGACCTGAGAGGAGAGGAGAAAATTCAGGGAGAGGAAGAGAGAGGGGAGGAAGAGGAGGAGAGGGGCGATGAGGACCAGGAGGAGGGAGAGGAGAGGGGGGAGGAGAAGAAGGAAAGGAGGGGGGAGAAGGAGGAGGAGGAGGGGGAGGAGGAAGGGCGTAAAGGACACCCACACCCCACACACATCCACACACACACACACCCGCGCAGCCACATAGAGAGGGAGGAAGGAGAGCGGCCCGGTGCGCGCGCGCAGAGAGAGAACCCGAGACGGAGAGAGAGAGGGAGAGAGGAGAGGGAGAGCCAACCACCGACGAGTCAAGATTCAGCGATTCCACCGCAATCGCCCTAATGACAACAGCCTCATAATATCTCCCCTAAATCCACAGTGAGTGCAGCATTGAAACATTTTGTTTCGCTTTTCTATTGGTCTGTGGCGTGTCGTTGTGGCGTTGCCACGGCAACCACTGCCAATCACTGTCAGCCCTGCCAATCAATACCGAGAACGTAAGGACGGTTTTACCACTTAGCCAGAGGGCGGGGGGAGGGGGAGAGCAGGGAAGGAGGGAGAAGGGGGGGATAAAGAGAATTTTTTTTATCTTTGCAACTCTTAATCTCGCTACTTCCCCCTCTCTCTCTTCTCTCTTCTTCCTCTCTCTCTTCTTTTCTCTATCGCTGTCTCTGAGCCGCCTTCTTCCCTTTTCCCCAAAGAAGTTGATCCAGAAATTCGAAAAGCCCTGGGCACAGAGTTGTTGAATGGGATGTGCAATTAGAGCGGGGATTTTGTTGGGAGGCAAGAGGGTCCCCCAGGCTCCACATAGGCCAGGTCGGCGGGCAAGGAAAGACGGCTGACCAGCCCAGCGGGCGCGGTTTGCACATGGTTTGCACGTCGGGTCGCCTCTTTCTGCCTATGTGAGCACTAATAGTGGCAAGGAAGAAAGGAGAGATGAGATCATGGGGCCCACCAAGCACCGACCTTGGCCCAGCGGGCCGTGGCGCCAGCCAGGGATCCCGGATTCCGAGGGTATCTGGCGCCGGGGAGCCTAAGCCCAGTTCCCAGGGTGCTGGAGGCCGCTCTTGCCTCCCCCATCGGTGCCCATGGACCACATTCACCTCAGCTCCCTCTTCATCAGTTAGACTTCTCTTTACTCCCTCCCCAGCCAAGGAGCCTCGATTTCCCCCACCACCCATTTTAAAATAATAGTCCAAACAGTACAGTTCTTTCCATCTTAAGAAGCAACTCAACTCTTTGTTTCCTCCCAGAATTCAGCAGCCTCTGTGAGGAGTGGTGGAGGAGCTGCGGGAGCCGAGAAGCCCAAGAGCCCTCTGGACCCGGAAAAGTCCCACAGATGCCCACTCCTCACCACACAACAGAAGGATCTCTGGTCCTGCCTGCCAGCCCCAGAGGGCACTCAAACTTTGGAGGCCAGCCACCCGGATGAAGTGAATAAGGCCTGAAATTGCTTGTTTGCTCGTATTGTAAAATAATAATAATTACCATTATTATTTTAAAACTGCCTAATTTCTCTAGGGAAAGTAACATTGAAAGCCTAAAACACACCCCAAAAGGCCCATAGAACACAGAAGGCCCTCTCTGTCTCTGGCCACTACAGCCCCTAGGCCAGGCATGGGTATTTATTCTTAGGTATGTTGCTTTTAAGAAGATGTAATCAGCATCTTGAGCCGGGCCTCCCTTTGTGAGGCTTCTGTAACTATGGAAGTGTGATTTACGCAGATTTGTCGGGGTCAGAGACGTCTTTCCCTGAGCGCTGTGTATATTTAGACAGGACTCGGTTTGGTGTTAAAAAGTGTATATGTTGAATAGATTCACACACAGTAGCCAACAATGACCACATTGTCGGCCCGTGTACAACGCGTATTGAAACGCAGCGCCCAGACTTCAACTAATCTGCCCTCAATAAAGCTGAAATAATTATCCTAAGCTGCCTTTCCAGAAGAAAAATCATTGAGGAATTCAAAACTTTTTTTTTTTTAAAAAAAAGATCTTTTCTGCATTCCGATGCAGATCTGGGGGCAAGGCGCCGGGTCCACACCACTTTGGTGATCTCAATGAGGGAAGAGAGAAAGAGAGGTTGAGAGAGAATTTAAATGGGAAACCTAACGTGACTGGGGCTGCGAGTGTCCCAGCCCCTAAACTCCGAGCTGGAGCCCTGCTTAGGCCTTGACTCCCGCAGTGCCAGGCCTCTGAGGGCCGAGGGGAAGAGCAAGCCGGCAAGTGCAAGCCTCCTTGGAGGCTTCCGGCGGCAGGGAGGCCCTGGGACCGGCGAGGGGCCAATACTGGCTCACTTAGCCAGAGGCAGCCGTGGGGTAGCAGGTCTTAAACACGACGACTGGGGCAGAAAAATATTCCTCCAAAGGGAAGACCTGCCAAGCCCCATTTCAGTGCTCTCTCCACTCCTGCCAAGCCCCATTTCAGTGCTCTCTCCACTCCACATATATTTCCTCCCCTCCCGGCCATGAGTCCTCCTCCAATGCAGCTGAGAAGCTCTGGGCGGTCGTTCACTGAGGGCCCAGAAAGAGCCCAAAGGTTGGGACTCAAAAACAGACACTTCATGTTTTCTTCCCGATCCCTTTCTCTCGTAGGGGAAGGATTATAGGCTGAAGGGTGGGAGGGGGAAGGGGCAGGAGGAGGAAGCGGGGGAGGAAGGAATGAAAAAGGGGAGGGGAGTGGGTATTGTGCCGCGTGTGGGGGGAGAATTCCTACGGGTGGGTTTCCGAATATTGTGTTCAACTTTTTGAAAGCAGCTCGTGACCCCGAAACTGCATCCCCCGGAGCCAGGGAACCAGGCGCCGGGCGGGCGGGTGAACCCGGTCAGTCCCCTCCCCGTCCCCGAAACCCCCGCCTCCGGGTGGGGGCGACCTGGCCTCTCCCTGCCACTGCCGGGCCAGCCCCGGAGGGAGGCTGGGCAGGTGCTGCGGGCTCTGCGAAAGCGCTGAAATCAAAAACCATCGCCACTCAGGGAGAACTGAGGCAAGTGGGGCTGAGACTCTGGCGACACCCCCACTGCCCCCCCCCCAGCCTCTGCCCCAGAGCCTGCCGCCCCGCCGCACCCCGCCTGCTCGGGTGGTGACCGCGGCTCCGGAGCGCCAAGCAGGGCAGAAGGCTGCAGCTAGGCGTGTAGCTTTGTGCGCCGGGACCCGGTGGGGCGGGTGGCATCCCGCGCTGTCCGCGCCTCCCAGCAGAGCCGAGCTCGGCGCCGCCCACCGAGCCCACCTCGCGGTCCAGCCGCCGCCAGCGCCTCTCGACTCTGGCCTGAAGCACTACTCTCGCCGCCTGGAGCCGGTAAGTTGAGAGTCCGCAGAGCAGGGCAGGGAGGCGGGGCGGCTGGTCCCAGAGCGGAGGGCCGTACTGGCTCCTGGCCGGGCTGTGGGCGCAGGCTCCATAGGGTCTCAGTCGAGGGGTTCTGAGTGTGTGTTTGGGTGGGAAGCTGGGCTGTGGAGCGCCAGAGCTTCCCCTCCCAAATTCCCCGGCCCTGGGCACTGGGGAGTGGAGCAGAAGCAGAGGGACCTTGGGTTCCAGGGCCCACGCCGCCTTCCTCGCTGGTCTGGGAACCAAGCAACTTCTAGGGCAGTGCGAGGACTGGGAAGGCACCCTGGGGGACTGCTAGAGAAGGTGGCCTGTGGAGGGTGCCTGCACCCTGGGTCGCTCAGAGCGGAGAGTCTCGGGTGGATAGGTCAGCTTGCAGATCCCCTACGTCTCTTCTCTGCTCTCTGGCCACTCTGCGGCATCTGGGACTTGGCGCCCGCACAGGCCGGGTCACCTGTGCAGAACAAATTTGCTGCCATCATCCCCGCTTCAATCCTGGCCTCGGGGATCGAAAAGATCCCTTCAGGTGGGGCAAGGAGAAAAGATGTCTTTGGGGTTTAGAGAGTGTTCTCCTTGTACCCGGACCTACTGGCATTTATTTACAAATGTCAGCCGCAATCCCAGCACTGGGAAAGTCTGAACCACATCTGGAAAACGCCCGAGAGACCTCCCACTCTCTCCTTGTTTTGGGTTACAGGGAAAGCCAACGGGTCTGCAGGCCTCCGGGAGAGGAGGATCCGGAGGGTTGGGGCAGCTGCACCCACTTGGCCTTGCTTGGCTCTAAACAGTCGACCCAGGAGGCCGGGGGAAGGTTTGCCCTGTGGGGGCAACGCCCCTTCCGGCTCCCAGGATGTCGGGAGGCGGGGGCTGGCCGGGTGGCCCATAGTCTGGGCCTCCCCGCAAGCTGCAAACTGAGGCGCTTGGCGCGGGCGGCCTGGGAGGGCGCAGGGGAGCGCAGCACGCAGGCGTGGAGGCCGCGAAGCCCTTCAAGGACCCCGATTACTTTCCTTTGAAAAACAACAACAACAACTGCTCCCTCCCCGCACCCCCGCCCCCCGCCTTAGCCTCCGGGGACTGGCGCTCCAAGCAATTGTCGCCCCGGACAGTAAACACAGCTCAGTTGCCTCAACTTTCTCCATGCATAAAAGTTCCTGGCGTGCGGGGAAATTTGAATATTTGATCAGCCCCTTTGAGTGACCCTCATTAGTCCGGCGCCCTGCTAAGGCCGGGCATTGCAAGAAAGCTGCTGGGCTCGGCATTTGTACGCCTTGTTAGCGCAGCTTAATGAAGCCGCCCCGACGGCTCAAAGGCGGCCTCAGGGGCCGGCGGCGCGCACCTCTCCGCACCCTGCTCCGCCTAATGAGCCCCGCCGCCCTCTAAAGGCCCTTCCACCACCACCCCCACCCCCCCACATTCTCAAACAAGGGAAGTTTGGCTCTGTCTTGAACCACGGCACCTCCCACTGCCAGGCCCAGGAAGATGGGCACAAACCCAGCCTAAATGCCTGCAGTGACCCAGCCCCAAGAGAGAGGGGCGGGAGACTTGGGAGGTGAGAGCCGTACCGGTTGGGGGAAGTGCGGGGAGAGTGGCTGGTGGCGGGAGAGGCTTTTGCTGTCTAAGGATCCAGCCCAGGGAGTGCACTGTCAACCTCTCCCAAGAGGACCAATTGCAAATCAATCACTCCAGTTCCTTAAAGGTGCATCTGGACTAAGGGGGTGGCTGAGGGTCAGCTTTCCATCCTCCTATCACCTCAAGTTTCCTTGGCTTCCACTACCTAGAGGCCACACACTTCTTCCCAAGGTTCCCCTTCTGAACAGCCAGACCTGGTGTGCCAGGACTTGGATTTGAGAAAGGGTGGGCAGCTCCCCTCCCTAACCCATCATTGCCTCCACCATTCACAGAGCCCAGTCACATGTTATGACAAGGGGCAGTAGGGAAGGCAAGGGACCACAGCCTGTCCTGCACTCCCCCTCAACAGAGGTATCCCTTCTTTGGCTTCTAGTGCCAGGGAGGCCTAGCAAAAAAAGTACTATAGGCAGGACCACCCTGCAAGTCTGGCCTGGCAGCCTGGCAGAGAGGCAGAGAGCCAGAGCTCTGGAAGCAAGGGAAACCAAAGCAGTCATCTACTTCACCTTTTCTTAGTGGGGCAACTGACATGGCTGGCCCGTAGATTTAAGACACCCTCTTAGAAACTGTGCTTCAGTGCTCAGGAAGAGTAGCCTTCCTTCTCTTCCTGTCTCTCCTCTCCTCTGATGCCCTTTTCCCGGAGCGGTTGGAGGTCAAGGTCCTTCACTCCCTCCTTGCATACACAGCTCTTGGGCCCTTAAGGGTTACTTTTGGGGGGAATTAATGCTCTGGGCTTGGGAAGCAGGCTGCTCCAGATCCACATTCAGGACTTTCTGGACCCCATCCCCCAACACACAAACACAAACATGCCCAAGATCCTTCAGACATACAGTGGGCCTGGTCAGGTTGGTAACCTCAGGACCCCATGCCAGCGTGAGCATCTCTGGAGGTCGTGGGAAGGAGCCAAAAGGCCAGGTAGGCCCTGGGATACAGAGGGCCCTCCAAGGGCATCTCGTTTGCTCCTCTTCCTTTTTCTCTCCCTAGCTCCACTAGCATGCCCTGCCCCATTTCCCATCCCATAACCCCCTAACTTAACCCTAAACTGGCAATCTTTAGGCATCACCTCTGAGCTGGGCACAGGCGGTGCCCGGGCCTTGATCGACCCAGAGGGCTGAAGTAGGGGCGGGGAAGAGAGGGGTGGGCGCTGCTGGTGAGAAAGGGGACCTGAGGCGAGGGTAGAACTCAGCCCTGTGGCCTCGAGGCCAGGCCCACCGGCTGCTCAGGGGAGGAGGCGAGGGGAGGGGGCTGGGAGTCCGCAGGCATCGGTCGGGGCAGCAGGGACCTCAGGCGTCGGCGTGGGGGGCTAGATCCGGAGGAGAGGGGAGGGGAGGCGGGGGTCGGGGGATCGCGCAGGGCGGAGGAGGGGTGCAGCTCTTTAAGAGCCACACGGCTGGCAGGAGAGGCGCGCGGCCCGGTGCTGGTAGAGCACTGACCCCGAAGGGGATTTAGCGGGCAGAGAGTGGCCGGGCTCTGGGGGTTTTGTCCGAGGGGGCCGGGAGAGGCCGAGGCACAAGAATAAGGAGCGGCCGCGGCATGAAAGGCGGCGAGGAGCAGCAGAGCTGCTGCTCTTGACTTCTGAGCAGGGCTTAGAGAGCCTGCCCCGGCTTAAGCCGAGCTGCTGGTGCTGGCCCTGAGCGCCAAGTCCGCGAGCTCTGAGTCCCGAGCCTCCCAGCCGTGGAGCAGTGGGATGAGGGGGGCGTTGGGGGACAGGGTAAAGTCGATCTTGGTTGTACAGCCACCCGATCCTAGCGCGGAGCTGAGAGTCTGACGGCCGGTGAGAAAAAGAATTTTCTTTTTCCAACTCCGGCTTTTGGTTTTGTGTGTCCACCTTGCGCAACTCCGGAGCCTGCCGACCCTACATGGATTCTCAACAGGTGGCCGGGTAAGTCCGTTTAAAGAATTCTGGTTATAAGGTCAGCCCCACCCCGACCTTCTTCCTTTTCCCCTCCCTCTTTCCCCCTCGGCTGGGCCGGGATCCCCGTGCTCCTCCCGCAGGCGAAGGTTGGGGTGGTGGTGGGGGAAGAGGCGCCCTTCCCCTGGGGGTCTCTGGGCTCCGAGTTGCAGCCCAGGAAGCCTGGCGGGCGGCCCCCAAGGAGTTCCACTCGGTACCCCCAAGTCCCGATCACTCTTAGCTCCTTGGTCTGGGCCCTGGCGCCCTGAGGGAGGGAGAAACAACGCGCCGCAGCACCTCAAAAGCCGAAGTCCCCAGGAAGGGGGACAGGGGACCCGGTGGCCGGGCAGCCTTTGTATGGGGGTTTACGGCGGAAACAGAACTATTCATCTTGTATGAGAGGCCTGGGATGCGGCCCGGGGGAGCCCGCGCCAGCCGTACAATAGCGGCAGAAGAGCGCCTCAGCAGCCGGGGTAGGAGTGGGGTAGGGTGGGGTAGACCGGGGTGGGGGAGGGGAGGGCGAGAGAAGGGGGAGGGGAAGCAGAGAAAGGCAAAGGCGAGAAATCCAGGGCGTCCGAGTGAAAAGTCGGAAAATGTTTCCAGAGCGCGCCAGAAACAGGCGCGCTTGCTTGCGGGCGCATAGTCTGTCTCTCTCTCGCATACACACACAAACACACTCTTACATGCTCACGCTCATTCCACACAAGGAGCCCACGCACGCGGTTCCTAGTCGTGCAGGGTCGCATGCCCGGGCACCCAGAGTGAACGCAGAATAGAGCCGCCCTCCCACCCCTACTGACGGAGAGCCCTCCCGCCCAGCCACAGGCACCCCGATTGAGGAGCTAGGAGGGCCCCCGGGGCTGGGGCACAGGGAGGATCTTACCTGCAGAAAGGTAAGGGAAGCCGGGAGCACCGAGCAGCGGCGGATAAATATTCATTAGTAAGTCTCTCCTTTTAAGCCGCGCGGTGCGCTCTCTGGCTCCCAGCTCTCTTTCCCTCCCTCCCTCTGTCCTCTTGTGAGGCTCTCTCCCCCTCTCGCTCTGTCTTCCCCCCACCCCTTCCTGCGAAATGCCGGGTGGATCCCAGTATAGCTAACCTGTTGGGAAGCCTGAGTCGCGGGCAGCGCCTCCACAGCTGTTTGCTTTCGCTCTTGGGGCGCGCATTTCCCCATCCTCTCCCCTCTCTCCTTTTGCCCAGCCCCTCTCCCCCTCCTAAATTACTACATCATTAGCTTTATTGGGGGGGGGCAGCTCAGCCAAACACAACTCCCTATAGCAGGGTGAAAAGCCGCTGCTCTCCGAGGCAGCACCAACTCCACCCCTAACCTAGCCTCACCCATCTCCTTGTCCCTACCTAGTTTTATTTTTTCTCTCTTTCCATCTTCACTTCCGTCCTGTACCGACCCAACTCCCTTACCATTCCTCCCTCCCTTGGCACTGCCAATACGGATCCCAGACGGGGTCGGGGCAGGGAGATGCCAAGTGGGTAGGCCCAATATGCCAAGGTCGGGACTCCACCCTGCCATGGACGTGGGGGTAGCTCTCCAGGTCCCCCTTTCCCACGTAGGCTTTCCACCCTGACCCTAAGTGGGCACGGCGTAGCTTAGGCTTTAGGATCAGAGCACCAGCGCGCACAGCAAGGGCCTCAGCGACCTGGGGCCTGGGTCCTCTGACCAGGTCTGGGAGACTGCATGGGGGAGGGGAGGTGGCCTCACTCTGTACGTACGAATGCTCATGAGAGACACAACCACCGACCATCGGACTGACATTCTCCCTTTCCAAACAAACTGACCTGAAGTTAGCAGTAAGTCCGCATCATTCTCACGAGAAAACACATCTACAAGATTCTAGAAATGGCACAAGGAACCGCTTCCAGTCGCGCGCGAACACGTGCACACACACCACACCCCTCACCCCCACACACCCGTGGCCAGCGTTCCCGCTGGCCTCTGAAACCTGTAGGCGCGCGGCCCCGAAAGGCTAATTATAGCGGAGGAATACATGGCAAAACCGCCCCCAGGAGAGCCCTGGCCACTCTTGTTGGCCCCCATTCTTCCAGATCCAGGCCCCTAGGATGCCCCAGGGACCCTGAGGGGTGGTGAGGTCCCAGGGTGCTTGGGGGTGGTCCGGGAAGCGCACTCTGGCAGCCCGCTGAGCGCTGCGTGTTGAGGTAGGGGCTGGAGGAGGGGCCAAGGGAGGCGGGCCCAGGCCAATTCCAAGTTACAAATACAGCTGCTCCTGGGAGGCCTAGGAGAGTTTTGCCGCAAAACGTGCATATCATTCGCCTCGAGACGCCATGACCTCCCCAGACAGAGCCCCAGGGCGCACTCGACCTCGAGGTGGCTTGGGTGATGGGGGCAATCGAGAGCAAGGAGGAGACCTCGAGACCTCCGCCCGCCCATTCAGCCCAGCCCAGCCACAGTCCACCGGGAGACGTCCTAGATGATGGTCCTATCCTTCCCAAAGGGTGGCAGGGCGCAGGATCGCGGAGGGTCTCCCTCCTTGTCCTGAAAGGTTAAGAAATTGGGCAGATGAAAGTATTTAAGAGGGGCCTAGAGCGCCCTGGGACCGAAAGCCGTATCAACCTCACACTCCACCCAAAGTCCCGCATTTGCACGTGTACACCTCTCCTCCCCATGCAGACATGGGGTCGCGCACGTTTGAGCTCATACTCAAGCTGAGTCACCTGACTATGCCTGGAACGTACAGGCAATTGTACCCGAATACACATGGGAGAATTAAAGGAACACTAATAGAGGAATTTGAGGAATAAAGAAGTGTCCACAGGCATAATTATTTGAATGAACGGGTGCACACCCAGTTGTCCAGATGCAGACAAAAACCACAGTGCCCGCGAGGAGTGACCCCAACCACAAGGGCAGATGTACAGGAAGCCGCGAACGGGGAGAGTTCGCAGAATGAGGACGCAGGCTGCAAGGCCAAGGGGGCTTCCTGCTAGAGGGACGTTGGCTCGGAGGGAGAAACTTTGTTGAGCCGACTGGGGGAAAGGTTTCAGGTCAAGTCCTGGCCACTAGAAAGAACCAAGGCCTTATCCACCCGGAGCCAACCTTTTAGCCTTCCTCTCAGCTCTGTTGGAGATATCCAGAAAAGGACAATCCAGGAAAGATTCATTTTGACCGAGATTGTTTTTATTGTTTATTTATTATTTTTGACCTAGGGGTTTGCATTCTGAAAAAGGATTTGGGTGGACCGCATACAAGTTCTCACTCACTGCTGGGAGATTCATAATTCTTAATAGGAACATTTAGCTCTAACCATGCCCTGAGAAGCTGAAGGGCCCTTATTTTGCCCCTTTCACCCTTCTTATCCTAAACTTGATCATTCACACGGATCCACACCCTCCTGCCCCCATCTCCACCCCAGTACCATGTATGTCAAATACATTTGCAAAAGAACACACTTAAGAGTCAACCAAATTACATAGTTCATTTTAATTTTTTTGTGTGTGATATATTGGGAAGTCCTCACCCCCTGCTGTCCGGTCTCTGGCTAAGCACCGTGTCCAGGGCAGAGGTGGGGGGTTGCAGAGAGGGGTTTCCAGAGTGGCTCTTGGGCAAGGCCTGAGAAACTACTCTACATAGGCTTGTTTTTACTGTGAGCTCCCTTGGCCTAACCAGTTCTAGTGGCCACCTCCGGGTTTCCTGCAGCAGAGGCAGCCTCCCTGGGAGCAGGGGTGCCCTCACTTCCACTTCACCTCCCTTCTCAACTTTCTCTCTTTTGAGCACATCTTCTGAGCCTCCCTCTCTCATCTGAAAGTGGAATGTAAGTCCGAGAAGATTCATTTAGACAAAGAAGGTGGAAGAAAAGGACTTTCTGGGCCAGCAACTCGGATGACCACCCTCCAAAGGGCAGAGGAGGGTCCACTTTGTGAAGAAGAAATGAACCACCCGGAAAACACCACAAGAGGACATGTTTCTGCAGATGTAGTTGTCCTAGAAACAGAAGAGTATGGGGGTGTGAATTTCTTCTCTTTTGGGGGCAAACACTATGTCCTTCTCTTTTTCTAGATAGTTAATTCCTGGACATTTTAGCGAGTTTGTTCCTGTGGATATTTTGAACAATAAAGAGTGAAAATCACTTTGGAGTCACTTAAATCTTCGTTGGAAGGGCAGTTTCTTCCAGGGCCATTTTCTTTCACCAGATTTGTTTTTCCTTGTTCCCAAATTCCTTGTTTTAAAAATCAAAGTCCACCTGCTAACTCACCTGGGAAAGAGACTGACAGAAGGAAGAGAAACAAATAGACATCACTCTCAAACTCAAAGTGTAACTTTCATTCCCGGCAGCTGAGATTGAGAACACAAACTCGTTTACCTTTGAGTATTTCCCCCGTGTGGGTAATTTATCTAGAGTTTTCCCAACAATCACAACATCCTGAAGTTGGAAATGTTTGCTATTACTTTCAGCCTTACAAGGTTCTTCAAACTCTGCTTCTCTGGTTTTAAAAACTGTTTGCGTCTACATAGCTATGCCTGTTGCAACATTTATCACTCAAGCAGAAAAGCAACTCGTTTTCTCATAGCCCCAAATGCCCCGTGTACAGCCACTGGAGCGAGTTTATTTTTCTCTGTCTTTCCCAAATGCCCTTGTCACTTCTGCCAGGGCCACAAGGCTTGGGGCAAAACTTCGGAGGTTTGAGACCTCTTGAGCGTGGGTCGCTATTATTGTTAGTTTTTTTGTTGGGAGAAATCGTGCTCAGTGATTGCGTGCGGTTCTCTCTGTCTACGCCGACTAGGGTTGCCTGCGCCTTCCTCAGCACAAACTCCTAGATGAAGCTAACCATTTCCGCTGCCCGGGGCAAAGGGCTGAACCGTGTTGTCGGGTCTAGGGTTGGGGTGGGAAAGTGAGGAGGGTATGCGGGTGGGGGTGGGGGCAGTCATCATCTTCAACAATAAATTAAAATAACCTGATACTCCTTTAATCCCTTCCATCAACAGTGTCAACGCGCTATAGAGGCCGTCTCACCTCCAAAGGTATCTTCACTCCCGGAGGGCCCGGGCTCCCAGCCACAGTCCCACACTGGGCCCGCGCGCCGGATAGGAGGTGCTCCGACGGCAAAAATCCCATACATTTTTAACTACAGTCATTACTAAATTAATAGCAGGCACTAAGACAGATGTCAAAACGTCTTGAAAATGTTTATCTGTGAATAATTGAGAAGGTGGTGGGACGCATTATCTGATTGTGTAATGAAATATGTATGAGGAACAGCTGTTTGCAACAGTCCCCTCCCGCCGCCGCCTCAACCAAGGCCCTTCTTTAGGAAGCAGGAGTCGCGGCGAAGTTGGTCGCCCACTTCTGTCCACTTGGGAGCCCTATCGGCCCTTCCCCGGCTGCTGGCAGAGTGGTGGCTCCAGCGCGCCCCAGAGTAGCCCGGTTTCCCGACGGACAATAACATGGAGTCCTCCTCAGTCTCGCTCTGTGGGCTCCGTGGCTGGGTGAGGCTCCAACGCCGGCCGCGCTGTCCCTCGCGCCTTCGGGGCGGGCCGTGGGCTCGGCCTGTGGGGACCGAGGGGAGCACGGGCCCGGGCGGCCGCGGAGGCCTGGCGTGCGCCCACCGAGCGGTGCGGCCTGCTCGGAGGCGAGGCCCGGGAGCCCCGCGGCTCAGCGGGACGGGCCTGGGGTCACCGAGGGGTGACGAGGCTCCCGAGAGGGCTTTGTTCGCGCTTTCGCCACACTGCGCACTTCCTTCCAGCCCCCTCGGCCCCCACCTCGAGCCTCCGCGCCCCGGCCCTGTTTGTTTTTCCAGCCCCGCGCCCTCCACTCCGACACGCAAACAGCCCTCGGGGCTGCGTCAGCGGCCCGAGGCCGTGGCCCAGGGCAGGCCTGAGTCCAAATGGGGCCAGCACGGCGAGCCCTGGCCCTGCAGGAAGCGGTGTGAGGGGAGAGGGAGCTCCAGGGCCTTCCTGGCGCGACAGGGGCATGCGAAGGCCGGCGGGAAGGTGGTCCAATAGGGCGCACGGCCTGGGCGGGCGGCGAAGGCCCGAGGCCTGGGCTCGGAAGGGTGCGGGCGGCCTGCGCGGCTGCCCATCCCCTGCCGCTGTCCCCAGCCCCAACCGGACAGGGGAGGCGCGGCGGAGTGGGGGTGAGGAGGACGCCCGGAAGGGCCCCATCACCCCTGGGCCTTGAAGGCAGTGTCAGCCACATGGACAAATCCGGTGCCCCGTGCGGGTGTGCGGGTCCCCTCGCCGCCTTTCCTGCGCTTCATACCGCTCGGAGACTGCGTCCCGGGCGCGGCGCTCCCGAAGCTCCCAGCCGGGCCGTGGCGTGCCCGCGCCTTCCGCCTCCACGGCCTCTCAGCCCCTCATCTTCCCCAGTTCCGGGGACCCGTCCCTAGCCCCTGACGCCCGGGAAGCCTGGCTGCAAAACCTTCGGCCGCGTTGGACCTTCCAGCGCCGCCGTCCTGACCGCTCTGGGGCCGGGGCCGGGGCCGGGGCCGGGAGCGGGAGAGGAGGAACCGAGTCCAGCTTGGCGGCGCCATGGCGCCCTGACACCCTGCGCCTTCCCGGTTTCCCTCGGCTGACTCAGTCGAGATGCGCTCGGGCGTTATGTCTCGAGCGTCGCCCTTTACCTAATCCCTTATGCTTTTATTCTAATCCTACACATTACAGTTAATCTGTAATGATACCGCTTCGGAGGAACCTGTTGCATACGAGGCTCGGCAATTTGTAACCTTGGAAACAGTTTTAAATAAAGATTATAAGAGTGATGTCAACTGTGTTTATTCTCCACGCGGGGGGTGGGTTGGGGGCAAGGCGGTGAGGACGGAGTTTCTGGAGAAGGGGGCGAGGCGCGAGGGGCAGGGCCGAGCGGCGGCCGGGGTCGGGGAAGCGGAGGAGCAGCCAGAGCTGGCTCTAAGTGACTCCAGCCCGGCGCCTGGCATCTTTTGAGTTTTTCTTTTTGGGAAATCGCGTGGTCTTAAACCGCGAGGCATAGGGAGAGGGAAAAGGATTTGCAAAACTTGAGCTCCTGTGTATCCCAAATTAACATTCAGCCGGGCCCTGCGAGCCTGGATCGCTGAAGCTGCGGAGAGAGAAAGGGCGGCTTGCAGGACCCTTGGGCTGCAAGAAGGCAGAGCCGCCTCGGTCCGGTTGCTTTGCGCTTCCAGCTTCCTACTCTACTGAACGCACTGGCAACAGCAGCAACAACCAAAAATTGCCGGCACACCAAAAGCAAAATTAAACATAATTGCTTTTATTTATCTATTGCTTTTATATCATTAAAATATTTTTAGTTACATTGTATAAAATGGCATCCACTCTGATTATTACCTGCCATATCTGTTGATCTGTTCCTTGTGTATTCAGCATAGCAATATTAACAATTAAGAAAAAAAGCACATCTTATATATTGTATCTGTCAAGATATGTTACAATTTCCATTAACAAAAAAACTATTCTTGTTGAAGAAGCTATGAAGCATATCTTTCACAAGCACTTTATTAATAATCATAGTTGTCAGAAAGAATTAGATATGCATAGATTGTAGATGCAAAGGAAATATTAGATGCACAGAATAAAATATACAGTGGGATTCAGGCATAACTATTTCTCTTTTTTAAAGTAAATTTTACGGAGGTGAAAAAAAAACCTGTGCTATTAAGCTTACTTAAAAGATGGCTTTGTTGGTTTAATTATACTGTAGTTATTTTATAAATATGTTTCAAAGGAAGCTTGCCATATTGCATGTCAATGAGGACTGTAAAGAAAAGCGCACAAAAGCTAATGCATACCAAATACTAAATTTTAGTCATTAGCATTCCTATTTATTACAAACTAAAGGAACCTATTAACAGACAAGAATTTCTATTTAGCTAGCATTACAATGTTTGGCTATTAAAATAAAAAGGGCAAAGTATATATGTATTTTTCCCCCCTTGGAACTATATGTTCTTTTTTTCCCCCTAAAAGCTTACGGAAAGATTGGGAGATGTTTCTGATTGGGGAAACTCGATTCTCTGATGGGAATGGGCCAGAGGGCCCAGAACACCTCGCTTTAGTGGTGCAGCTTAATGCTATTCATTCGGAAGCTGCAACCGTTCGGCGCTGGGACTCTGCAGCCTGCGCAGTGCTGTGTAGTGCCCACAGCCTGTGAGGGGCCCTTTGTCTTTAATTTGTGTCATGAGCATATGCAAATTATTAATTGTTTTTCCTCGAAGGGAGGGAGTGGGTAGTGATGGTAATACTGCTTTTGTTTGGATATTAAAATTTCCTTAAATGCTCCCAAGGCGGGGATACTTCTCCCAATGCGGATTCCCCTAGTAGAAAATCCCACCGCTACAGTGAACAGATGGGTATTAATTCTAGAAACATGCACATAGAGATTTGTATCATTTCAAAAACTTTATTTGAACAAAGGTGGCATTGCTGCTCTCACATCAGAAGTAAATAAATATAGAAATTTATTTTTTCTGAATGTCAATTTAAGAGGGGAAAAGACTTTTCAGCTATCCTTACTTTTAGAAACTTTATATTTTGCTTCTTAAAATGAAAGCAGATTTCCCCCCCCCCCCAATTGGGCAGGGCAACAATTTAAGGAACTGAAATGAAATATTTGAAATAAGAAAGGGTTACTATGAATTATGTTAAGTGAGTTTTGTGTATTTTTAAGGGAAAAAATAGAGCTTGTTAAACTCTGTGCATTTGCCAAGTGACTCAAAGCACAGGTTCTTCTGGACTGACATTTGGCTCTGACAGGATGTATTCTGCCTGCTTGGGGGACTCTTTGCATTAAAAGATT